TTCAATGTGAAAACTCTCAAATTTTATTCATTAGCATGGACAATCAGAGGTCCTTTGACAATTAGGTTTAGCATGTACTTATATAATTGGGGCAAAAACATGAGTGTATGCGCAAAATCTAACCTAAATTGATGATAATTACAATTTATTTGAATTAAAATAAAATCTAAAAATGAGTGTAAAATGATTGTTTTGCCCTTGTCAAATAATACATGAAATTTCAAAAAAGTCCTTATTACTGCCCTAAAACTTGTGTGATATTCCATGGATCATTCAGAGTTTCTCCAGCATCCATATGATCGAAAGATGATTGCTTTCTTGTCGAGCTCGATATGACCATCAATTTGATACCAACTTCGAACCACATATCGCGTTTTAGACCACGATCATGTGACTCGAAATTTGTATAGATCTTGAAAACTATCGATCGATAGTGTGCTTATTTCTTGATGTTTTTCTTTGGTTCTTCACTGAATTTCACTGAGCATGTCGTCACGATCACGTTGCAATGAACACAGCTTGATTTCGTGCCCAGACGAAGATTTCGTCGTCTTGGGTTTTTTGCCAGATCTAAAAATCTGGTGGCCAAGAACTGTAGCAATTTTGATGCCTTCATGTACGGAATCCAACCGTTCTTCGTACGCGGAGTTCAGACTAAACATAGCCTCGAAACTTACATACATAATGCAATTAGTTTCGCATCGATCGGGTATATAAGCACCGGGATATGGCCACTCAAGCGAGGCATGTTACTGTTGAATTTTCTGCAACTGTCTTCACGAATCGCCATCTTCTCTCTTGTGTTTCTCCATGCTCAAGTATCATCACGGTCTTGCCACATATCAAAACGCTCATCTTGATAAGACGAACACGCTCATCAAATTTGAACGCGATCTGACTCAAGACGAGTGAGATACGAGTCTTCGAAGTTGCTACTCGTGACTGTGCGAACCAGTCTCTTTTAATGGAGATTGGTGCAAGGAGGCCGCACGGGATAGCGTGTGGCCTACCCCTTTTTAATGTTTTACCCATAACTTTGTCATTAAATGTTCGATTAAGCCGAAACTTGACCTGTAGGAGTTTTCAACCATGCCAGATCCAATGGTGGTGGTCCAAGACGCACCAAAAATAGAGTTCTAGTTATGAGGTCTGTTTTAGGGTGCTAGAGGAAGATTTTTCTGAACTTGTTCCTTCGTCTGCACTACCTTAGACATGTCGGATTGCAACAAAACTTGGCAGGTGGCCTTTTGGAGTGCTTAGGAAGATTTTGACCTGTTCTGAGGAAATTATGAGATTGTCGAGAATTCCACTATATGTCAAGGCTTTATTAACCAGTTTCTCTTTTTATTCTGCATTGGGGACCCAAAGTGCTGAAAAATGTCTTCAAACAAGTATGTCTTTCAACTAGTCCTTCAGAGAGAAAGTAAAGAAAACTGAAGCGAAGGGCTAGTATGCCTTTCAACTAGTCCTTCATAATGTGAATGAATAAAGAGAAAATAAAGAGAGAAGGCTGGTTTGTTTTTCACCTAGATCCTTCAAATAAAAAGATAATAAAAGTAATAAGAAAGTTAAGAGAGAAGAGAGAGAGAGAATACACAGATGGTGGCTTAGCTGCCCTCTATGAAAAGAGAGAAAGAGAGAACAGAGGCGGTGGATTGGCTACCGTCCGTGAAAAGATAGAAGAGAGAAAGAGAGAACACAGACGGTGGCTTGGCTACCGTTTATGAAAAGAGAAACATGACCCAAGATTCAAACAAAAAACAAAACTTTTTTATTAAATAAAGAAGGGGTCTAGAGTTTGTTTCACCGTGTCCTTTACAAGAGCACCTCACGTGCTTATATAGAAAATTAATTCAAACATAGGTAGATGCCCAAAACTCAACCTCATTGTGAGAAAATAAGAATTAAATGAATTAAAGAAAATTAAGAAATTAGGGGAAAAATGACGATTTAACCCCTCACCCACATCTTGAAATTTCAATTAAGTCCCTATCATGGCTATATAACCTTTGCGATCTTTCAGGTTTGTTCGGAGTCCTTCGGGTCTTCATCCGGCCAAAATATTATTATTTTCTTGATCGGCTCAGAAAGACAATCGTTTTGATACTCATTTCAAGCCATGGATCAGACTTTTGGGCCACGATCACGAGATGTGAAATTCACGAGAAACGTGCGATCTTTGATTCAAGATCATGCCCATTTCTCAGTGTTTTTCTATGATTTCTTCGCTATAGCGTGACAAGCAAGCCATTATGCACATTTTGAACGCGGCTCGATTTGGATTTTGAACGACTGTTTTCCAAAGTTGGTTTTTTGGCCGGAGTTTGGTTTTCGATGGCCGAAAATTGCAGCAACTTCGAACTCATCGTGCGTTAAATCTAACCGTCCATCATGTGTGAGGCTTGGCTCAAATGAAGCCTCTAACCTCGTGCTCGTAATGGGTCTTGTTTCGGGCCAATCCATCGTACAAGTGTCATGATGTGGCCATTCGATCAAGGCGCGCTCCTATTGAAAAATCTGCAACCTTGCCTCGAATCGCAATCTTCTCTCTAGGCCATGACATGGGTCGTGCCACATATCGAAATGCTCGGGTCGACGAGACGAACATGCTTGCAAAATTTGAGCTTAATCTGACCAAGGACGAGAGAGATATGACCTTCGAAAGTTTAGCCTGAAACTCAAAAACGCAGTTTCTGTTAATGGAAAGCGGTTCACTGAGGGTGCACAGTAATAGTGTGAGAGCTACCCGTTTTGGGTATTTGGCCATAACTTGGTCCAAAAACAGTCGATCAAGCTGAAACTTGGTTCTTAAGGGTTTTCAGACGTTTTGAATCCATTGAAAATGGTCCCATTGTCATTTAATACTCTGGTGATAGGGTTGTAGTCATAAGATTCATTTTTAGGGCGCTAGAGGGCAATTTTCCAAAAAACTTTATTTGACTGCATTGCCTTAAACTTGTCATATCGTGAAGAAACTTGGCAGGTGCTCTTAGGAGACCCTTAGACATGCTCTTGAACCTTCATAGGCCATTCTGAGACATTGAAAAATTTCACTTCTAGATCAGAGCTTATTGTCCTACGGCTTCCGTGGTCCCCAGGTATTTTGGTACCTACGGGTCTAGGTCGTGAGCGGCTTTCTCCTTATTTTTATCGGGGATACAAGTGTTGAAAAATACCTTCAAAAAATGATAAAATTCGAAGATGCACCTTAATTAGATTGTTTAAAGTTGTAACCTCATAGAAACCACACCCCAAAGTTTTTGGTCCACATTAAGTAGGTCCATTTCTCACCCCTATTTATTTACAAAAGATTGCAAATTTCCCCAATATTTTCTTTAAAAAGAACATAAAATACCTGTTTCACTTTATTTCCAAATTAACCTACTCATGAGAAAGTCATTTAATGGAGAGCATCCATTGTGATATGCTATCTCTTGGGTTTTCTACAATTTTCTAACCCACATCCTCAATTGTTAGTGTTAATATGGGATGGTTAGAGGTGATGTTCCACCACTCGAGGTCCCTCAAATATTTTGATGGAATTTTGAGCTGATACATTCATGGCATGGAATGGTTTTGGGGGTGTCGGGAAATTGTAGGGTTTAAGAAAACCCAAAAAAAATATAAGTCACTTTTCCAGTTATTACCAATAGGTATATTATATTCCTTGAGAAAAGATATAGGGAATTATAGCTTCACAAAGAGTATGACCCTTAATAGAGCAAAATGGCGGTCTAGAATTTATTTAGCCAGCTCCAATTAATTGAAAGGCTTTGAGAATGATGAGGTACTTTACATTCCCATTTGGGTACTCTACTGCTTTTCAACACCACCATAAGGCTTGGGATGTTGTTATTCCAGTCCTTTTACGATTAGCTCTTTGAATGAGAGAGGTCAAGGGTTAAAAATTTTGAAATTTGAAAATAAGAGCCAAATAAGGTGACCTGGTTCTTCTTGTTTGGATAGATTCTTCTTGCTAAAGTCTTTTAATAGAAAATTCAATGACTTTCTCCAGTGAAATGAAGTCGCAATTTGCTGCTCTCAATGTATAAGGAACTAAAATGGCATCATGATAATTGGGTGGGGCAGGCAACAAGCCTATTAGTTGGGTTGGGTCAGGCATGAGCTAGGGGTCACAGCCAACCAAGTTTGATGACTTTGTAAAGTGAAGGAAGTCACAAATTTGCCAAATAAATGCAAGGACCTCAGATAGAAATATGCCATGCATTTTTTTTATTTTTTGTCAAATGCATGTAAGGAACTGTTGGGATAAAGCTCAAGTGACAATGATGATGATGATGAATGTAAGGAACTCGAATAAAAACATGTTATACATGAGAGGGTTGGCCATCCAGTCGGCCATGCTCATGATAACCTGATGTTTGTGGAGGATTAGGCTTGGGCCGTGGGTCATGGTATGGCTATCCAAATTCTTATTCTTATGTTATTATGAATTTTAAAAAAACAAAAAAGTACTATCTAATCTCCCACCCAACCCCATTAACAGTGCTGGACCTAACACAAGAGAAGAGCTAAGCTTGGGAAGGACCCTCTTGGCTGGTTGAGCTCGAGTCTGGCCTGGGTCGTGGCTACCCTTTAACTGTTAACTGCTAAGCAAGAATGAGAGAGAGAGAGAGAGAGAAGAGAAAGAGGAAATAATGGAGATTGTAGAGGAAGGAATAAATGTTAAGAATGTAAGAATGAGAGAATGAGAGAAAGAACAGGAGAAAGAGTTAAGAGAGAAGAGACAGAACGTAACCAGGGGATAATATAAGCTGGGAAGGGCTTCTGAGAAGAGGAAAATGATCAAATTTATTTGAAGGGTTTCATCACATCCAAGGACAGGGCCAAAAGTTTTCATTATACAAAATGAATCTTGGGTAAGGCAAAACAATGCATAAAAGAGTCTAGATAGGAACTGAAGACTGCTTTTCTCTAGCTCCCAAGTTTAAAGGCATCTACAAAAATCCCTAAGAAAACACTTGCCTTCCAATAATTTATCATCCCACCAAATACTCAAGCCTCCCAATGGATATGGGCAAAGGTCTGTAGTACATGAGTATGCCAATGCTCTCAATGGCAGCCACCACAACACCACCAACCAAGACGTCCCAATCTCCTGTTTGCCCTAATATTGTTGCATTCGCAGTGGCAGTGAAGAAACCTAAAAGCAATAGAAGTACTTTCATTGGAAAGTTCCTCCTTGCCCCATTTAGCTTTTCCAAAAGTTGCCTACTACCCCCAATAATTATCCAACCTAATCGGGTCCTACCTAGCTGTCCTGGTGTGTCATCCCACACATCAAGCCTTTCATTTCCATCACTGTCAGGAGCCCCTTCGGTCTCCAACGCAAAGGCTATTCTCCAACCATCTCTACTCGGTCTATAGCAATGAAGGAAACAAACCCAATAATATCAATTAAATCAAAACACACATATTTGCACTTATCTTAGTTCTAGTTTCCCTTACGACTTCCATATCCTACAAAATCCAGACCTTGCCAATATTTAAAAGCCTGGGCTTGGGTATCGAATTGCCAGGGTCCCGAGCCCTAGTCAAAAGAAGACTTCGTCAGGTCAGGCTGCATGGCTTAGTCTCAAATAACAAATACATAAACTACCACTGGCTTGGATCAGACTCGATCGATTTTTAGGGTTAGTCATCCAGAACTAACACCCTATCAGGTATGAGTGACTCGAGAGTCCGAGCCCAAGTCAGCAACTTGTATCACTGCTATGTGTGTTTGTGCGCACGCGAGAGAGAGACAGAGAGGGGTAAGAATGCCAATGTATAGATACAGTTGCAAGCAAGAGACACATCAATATAGTTTCATACTTCAATAAAAAGAAGAAGTACACAACACAAATGGGAGACAATCACGCACATAAAAACCCATGAATGGATGTGCCCAAACACAAACACAACCCTCGTGCGTGTACACTCCCACAGAGGTGAGCTTGCAACAGAAAGGGTGAGCAAGTAAATAACATTCCCCATCTGGTTTTGACTGGTTCCAAATGCCTTTTTTTTATTGTGAAAGTTTGAAATGCATTATGCATCCAAATTTATTCAAGCATGGTATGGAAGTGTCCTACAGCAGCTAATAACTTGAAGTCATCGGATCTTTATTTTCAAACTTAAGAAACCATCACTGAGGGTATAACCCTTAATGGAGCAGAATGGCGGAACAGGATTTATGTAGTCGACTCCAATTAGTTGAGAAAAGGCTATGATGATGATGATCAACAAGGCCATCAGAGTCTTTTTATTGAACCAAACAGTCGAAAAAGAAGTAGATCTCAATACCAGAAAATAATTATCCTCTCAAACCTGTAAACTCACGTATTCAGGCTAATCCAAACAATACATTCAATGTAATTTCAAGGTCTTCAATCGGGCAGAATTGATCACACCCAGTGATTCAGTGTTTGAGGCTTTTGATCATCATTTTGTGAATAGATAAGAATGGATAGGCCCATAGGCACATTTATGTGGATGAAATATAGAACAAAGATTGTCCCCTTGGAGGATTATGGTTTATTCAGCAATCTGTCTGCTGCATCATTTTGGCAGCATAAACTTTTACTCAACCATTCATTATCCAATTAAATGATGACGATGATGGCAGCAAAGACTTTTACCAAACTTTAAAGATTAGTTACAAAAGGAGATTTACCTCTTACAAGACACAGATGCTAGAGTTTGACTAAGCCTCGTGGCAGGCATTCTAGAAATTAGTTTGAGAAAGTTCCAGCTCTGTCTGATGCAATAAATTGGGAGAGGTGCATCACATGGCTTTTCAAAGACACCATTCTCAACTATGTGTAATTGAATGCAAGCCATTTGATGCAATAATCCAATTTACGAAGCTGAAAAACAAGGAATAATCCACGGTTTTCAAAGTGGGATCGTCACCCTACCCACAAGGTTCACTTAACTATGGTTTAGACAACTTTTAATTAGGACTTCTAATTACTGGCAAGTCTAGGTCTCACAATGATAAAGTAAATAATTTTGCATGTGGATGGTATTTGTATGAAACTTTTCTATTGTTCCAAAATTTATAAAAGATCTCTTCTTTTTAAAGTGAAAAGGTCAAGAGACAAGTATATTAAGTTGCACCCAAAAGTGCAGTCAAATGTAGACACGTGGAGAGGGAGGGAGGGAGAGTTTGCATGTTGATGGTAAGGGAGGGAGGGAGGGTTTTGTGTGTAGATGAAATTTGTAAAAAATTTGAGAGACGAGGATATTGTGCTGCACCCATAAGTGCGGTCAAATGGGAGGGAGGGAGGGAGTAAAGAGAAGATAAATGGGTCAAAGGTGGGAAGAGGCTGAACAAATGGAATGTTGGCTACCGCTCTATATTGCATGGATATGGTACTTGTATCAGTGTCACACATAAGTCTAGGGTGTGAGATCCATACTACCATGAAAAAGAGGATTTGACAACATGGCTATATGATGGAGACAACCAAAGCCAACAATATCGCGTTTCATGATGAGTAACAATAAATAATCAGACATTACCTGGCTGAATCCTAGGATACTTTCACAGTTCCACAAATATATTCGAAGTTCATGTATATTTATTGAAACAAACAAGAAGATCAAGTCTCCAGAATGATGTGGTGAATTACAGTAAACAAAAAGAACCAAGAAGAATTGTTGTCAGTGCGAGTGTAGATATGTGTCCAACACAGGCAAGACACTCAACTACAAGAATCCACGTAACATAATTTGCACCCAAGTTAGTAGTGTTCTAGAGAGTAAAGCAACTCATTGGACTCCCTCCAAACATGTAAATATAATACTAATCTCAAGTAGCATATATTTCGAGCTTCTTTGAAAGTATTAACATTCTTCTCTATAGAAGGGCATTCGTCGAAATCTCGTCTGATGACATTCAAGGAATCACCCTCGACTGCCAAATGATTTATGGATGACTCAGATGCCCCCTTAGCACTCATAGTGAGGCTTTAACCACAATTTTCATCACCTCTCCTTGACCGGAAAGGCCTGAGAAAGTGATACAGACCTCACCTAAGGCGTCCCAAACAATCCCTCCACTAAATGTATGGTCGTCCATAAACTATTGGCCTATTTATTTTATTACACTCAAAGGACTGCCCTTGAAGTTGTCCTTGAGAACCCCTATGGAAAGAGAACCAAAAAGCATGGAGTCTGCTCTCTGTGGTGTGAAGCTATGGTCCACATATAACAACTATGGTATCACCCTTGAAATTTTTGTTGACCCAAGCTCAAGAGGTAATGGTGACCATAAATGCTTGGAAAATAAACAATAATGAGTCCTCTGTTTCCTCTACTTCTCATCAAGAAATATTTTATGACCTCACTGTGCCAAATGAGCTAATCATAAGAAAGAAAGCCTAGAAATAAAACTCCCCCAGTTTTAAAAGCTCAGTAAACTCTTTACCTCACGCTTTAAGAAATCCCCTCAGGTGACAGATCACTTCAGTATCCCTCCATGAATAACATTTTTGTACTGAGGCATTGGATTCAAGATTCCCTCAAATAACATTTTGTACTGAGGCATTGGGTTTAAGATTGCATGCTCACTTATAGAAAATCTTCCACTTTCAAAAAAATAAAAGTTATAGACAATCTACATGATAGCATAGGTTGTAGTCCCTGCCTCACAGTATTATATTTAGTGCATTAATGTGATATTAATATGCATATTTTCACTGATAAAAATATTTAGAAGTTTCTCATCATGTGTGTTTGCTCCATATTCTTGATCCAACACAGCAGTTTGGTGCATATTTGAGAAGTTAACTTCGTATTAGATAAAAGGGAAATGTCAGTTTTGTTAATTGAGCTATGATTAAGAAGCTACATTGCGTCAGCTATATATTAGAATGTAGTCAGCTACTATTTGGCAGGAGGACAACTACTTATTATGCTCTGGTGTGTATTTATTATTATATTAAGAATAAAGGACTTCGACCTAGAACAACGCTATTAAGGATGGGTGACTTGATTCAAGTGGAAGGCTCTAAAAGGGGCTAGGGGAAGGACTAATAGGACATGCTTGAAAGTAGCGAGAAAAGTTGTGGGGAATTATAATCTAATTGAGGATATAGCCATTGACAAAGCGGAATGGTGGAATATGATTCATGTAGCTCGCCCCAAATAGTTGAAATTTTGATGATGATAATAATGATGATGATGATTAAGAACAAAGGATTAATCCCTTAGAGTATACTACGGATCAAAGCCATAAACAAAATAGCTCCGACAGACAATAAGATATAAATACAACATAAAATCAGAGAAATACTGAAAATTGATATGTATAACAGTACATCATGTATTTTCAACACCTTCCCTCAAACTGACGTGGAAGTGGTAATTATTAATAATTTTCTCACTAGATGATCATGTTCTATCTGAGTAATACCATGGGTAAACATGTTGGCAATTTGATAAGTGTGAGGAAAGAGGAACACTGCTAGTTCGTCTCTTTAAAATGAAATGACAATCAAAAACCCAATGTACTTTATTTGATCATGACGGGAGGAAATTCTGATAGCATGATGTGATCCCTAATAGAAAATAGCTATGTTTTATATATGTCTTACTTATTTAAAGAATCTTTGCTAGTCTCTTTAGAATGAAATGGCAATCAAAAGCCCGATTTACTTTAATTGATCATAACACACGAATGGAGGAAATCCTAATAGCATGATGTGATCCCCAATAGAAACTAGCTTTGTTTCATATACGTCTTACTTATGTAAAGAATCTTTGCCTAATGTTATGCATTTTACATTTTCTTTAGTAATTTCATCTCTGCCTTTTCTATGTTTTCCTTTTTGTATGTTCCATCAATTTTTCTTTCAAGTTTTTGTGATATCCTGGCTTATTCAAGTGAATTGTATTATTAACTTGTTTTCTAAACTTTACTTATAGATCTCATTGACTTTCTATTAGTTTTGGAATATGTTTGGGGACCAATTTGTTTCTTTCTACAAGAATAATCTCATGGAAGATTGATTCTCACCAGTATAGCGGTTGCAAGAATTGATGTAGGTGTTGATTCGTGCTATCTCAAGTCCTCCTTTTAGAAATTATCGTGTGTGGTTGTCTCTTGCTAATACCAAGTATGGTGGAACTACTTTATTTATAAAAAAAACCTATTTCAACCAAAGAAGGTGTCCTTTTCTCATGAACATTCAGGTAAATATGACCATTGATAAGAATAATCAAATAAGAATTTGATTTATGCATATATGATCGTCTAAAAGTAAGATAGAGGGAGACATGGAGGGAGGGGAACATGTCATTACCAAATCTGCGATGCTCAGGTGGTTGGGACGTGCAGCTCCATTTGCCTATGAGCCTTAAAAACCATTATTTTTTAGAACTTCATCATCATTAGGTGGCCAATTATTTGGACAACAATGTCCCTATCTACAATGCTTTATTGTTGAATCAATAAAACCCAAGAAATTGGAATAACTGATCAAAATCACCTGCTCAACCTGTCCAAAGATTTATTTTATTTTTTAAATTTTTAAAATTTTTGTTCAACAAATTAACTTGAACCTTATATTTTCATTGGATTGCCAATGTGATCTGCCTAGCATGAATCCATGCACATGAATATAGACTTTTCCATTTCTCCTTGGACACATGTTAACTTCTTGTGCACCTTCCAAAATAATGGGACATTTGCCCAATTGCTTTTAGATTGCATCCTGCTCATTTTTGCACTTCATATAATCAATTACTTACATCTTTCTCATCTGATTTTTATGCTTCTATTCTGTTATTCACTTTTCTATCTCTATTGCATATGTCCTCTAATACAGTTGTTCAATTAGGCATGGTTACTGTTGTATAGTCAGATTTTATTGAAGATCCGAAGCACAAAATACCGAAGTATTTACAAACGCCAAAATAATAACCTCTTGATTGTTGATCAACGCAATAACAAACCCTAAGGAATTACCCTCCTTTGTGCTTCTTCATTCCTCTCACGATATATTCAATAAAATCTAGCTTCCTCTTTCAAACTTCCCTATATCAACATCAATGACTTTCGATATATTTGTTGTGAAGGCCTGCATTAGAGTTGGCTATTAGATGTTTTCCTGCTTCTCTGGTTTCTTCTATTTTATAGTAGTTAGTTTATTTCATGTTATATAAGAACCATCGCTTCAATACATTTATCTTTCAATTGTGATCCTGTAATTGCGATTTGATATTTGATTTTGCATCATCATCTGAACTGTGATGATGATATTAGAAAGTTTGTGATTCAAAGAATGAATCAGATGGCCAAGTTATATTGGCTAAGTTTGACTATTTTTGCTTTCTGAATGCATATGTTCCTAATGGCTGGAAAGACGATGATTCCTCTTTCAAACGCAGACGTAAATGGGATAAAAGAAAGCTGGAGTTTGTTTGTCATTCTTCAGACAAGCCATTGATTTGGTGTAGGGATCAAAATGTGAGGTAGTTTATTTTTATTTATTTGGCTAAGTATCCAAATGTGAGGTAGCCGTGACCATTTTGAAATACTTCATTTATATTATTAAAAAATAAATATATAGCTTTTATTTTTCTCTCTTCTCAAGATCCATTTTGCCAAATTGTTCCTATTTCTTTATTTAGTGGTTTAAGATGGAATATATCTCTTGTGGTCACGACCACGCTCCCTGACCCCTGCCAAAGGGCGACATAGCGTGGGATCACGACCGGAGGTCGCGAATGTCACTCAGGTGGGAGTGGCTCAACACATAAAACACATAATTGAGAGCAAACCACGAAAGAAAACTAGTATAAATCTATTCATCAGCAAATATCAATCCAAAAGCTACAACCATTTCCTTCATTCATTATCAAAAGTCCTTACAATTTCTTCGAGGCACTACTAGCCCAAAAAACCCAAAAAGAAGTAGACATCATATTGCTCTAAACCACGAAAACATATTGTGAAGGTCTTCGAAAAAAGGCTTCTCAAAACTTCGTAATCCCGGGCTTCAAACCCCCAAACTACCACCCGCCTTCACTCTACAATTATGAAAATAAGATGGAATGAGTTAAAAGCCCAGTAAGCAGATCTACATCATTGCATTCCATCTAGCATGATAGTGATAACAATATGCAATGCACATATATACGTATATATACACATGTATCAAATGAAGTCCCTCAACATGCTTTTCAACACTCTAACAGTAATGTGATAAAGCCAATTCAATATATAATGCATAAGTCACAATCACTTTACTTAAAGCAGAGAAATAAGGACACAAATCATAGATACAGTTAAAATTTCATGCTGAAAGCTTAAATAAGATAGGCAAACAAATCTAATTATTCTTGAAGTAGAAGCCACATCGGTCAATCTAGCCAATCCTGAACTTGGGACTTCTACCCTCACTCCGAGAGGTGGACAATGACAAGTGGGTAAATCCACTTCCTAATGTCATCACTCATGCACACAATCCCTTGCGCGCTTTGGGGTTTTGATAGGCAGTGGCCTTGCAAGACACAACCCTCTCCTAATGCCCTTTTAGCGAGAGAGCGTTACACTACCATTAAGTGACCCAATGCGTAGTGCCTACATAGATTTGGGGGGGCAACCCTCCCAACTACTCACATCCTGAGTCTCGTCCTATCATGGGGAGTCAGGGGAAGATCGCAGTTGCTGACACCATCATTCACACAGTAGGTACCCTTCCCAACAGACAGCTGCCAGCACCATCATTGCCTATTCACATAACACATAAGCATCGCAGCTACCGGTACCATCATTCATATAGTAGGTACCCTTACCAACAGGTAACTGCCAGCACCATCATTCACACAGTAGGTGCATATTCACATATCACATAAATAGCAAGATACCATCATTCACACAGTAGGTATCCATTCACATATCACATAAATAGCATGATACCATCATTCACACAATATGTATCCATTCACATATCACATAATAGCAATATCACATTTTGGCAGTGGCACATCACACTTTAGCAGTATCACAATGACAGAATCGTAGTAATAGTAACATTATTTCAGTTAAGCCTTACCGTTCAATTTCCTGCCATTAAGTGCAATGACATGCGCTTACCATTAGGGTCGTAACCTTTGGACCATTTGAAGTTTGAAGATGGTTTCAAAACCAATTTTGTACAAAACATACCTATCCCTTAAATGGGAGTGGTTTGAAGCCAATTAGACTCTGTTTGACCTCTTCAAGGTTCAAAGAGGTGAGGGTTAACTAGCTGCACCCAGCTGTGTATAGTGGACAGCGACGTACCCTGCTTCATATCACTATAACTTTCAAATCGTGAGGCATTGTGATGGTTTCAAAATAAAAGTTTAAGCCAAGACATATACATTTCTAACAAAGCAAATTTCAAAGCATTTGGACTCCGTTTAGTGGTTCAAAGACTTGTGCCAAACAAGCTGATTGTTCTGAATTTTATCAACACTACCTACATTAACATACCTTCATAAAATGAAGTATAACATTCATTCTAAAAATAATTTCAAAATAGTTTCTACATGCACGTTTTAGCCCGTTCAAAGGTCTTTCAAATGGCTATCGTTTGGCCGAAAGTGAACTTCGTTTGGTTAGTCAAAATCCGTGACCACAGTGGTACTAGTGAAAATCCAGGAAAAAATTCAATAATGACATATCTTCTCATTTTGAAATATAACTTCATTTTGGTGAAGAATTTCAGTAGATAGAAAAATAAATATTTTACTAGACTCGTATATCTTCCTAATGGCAATAATTTGAGGTCAATCGGACCCCATTTGGCTGTTTGAAAGTCTCTTTCATGAACACACATGTTCCTGGAATTTCACAGTGGCATATAGCATATCTCAATAACATGATAACAACCATTCAATCAGAACGCACACTCATAATGCACACACATGTTCCATGGCATTCATTCATGGTGAAGAACATGATAACAACCATTCACTCAGAATGCACACACATAACATGCATTTCTCACATAATCTAAGAATCATACATTCATTCTTAGCGTCCACTTTCATTATAGAACAAATCCCCCATATTTTAATGAAAAAAGCATAAGGATTTTCTACATCATAGTACACTTTCCTTGCTTATTTCACTTGCATAAATTCCCATGCATCCATACGACTACCATGCAATGGTGATGGATCCACTTACTTGAAAAACAATGATGCCTACTCCAGTCCTCTTGCGACAACTCTCACCTACCTAACAATGGCTGCCCTCCAACAGTCACCTCTTCCAACCTTGTGTTTTAGAGAGAGAAATGAAGTAAGGATGAGTGGCGTGGGTTAGATAAGAGGCTTAAGTACTCTTGAGGGTGGGGTGGCTTCCCATGTGGCGCAAAAGACTGCAAAATCTGGACAAGTGGCACTCAAACATCATGCATCTAATAAGTGGCACCTTCAACTCATGCATATCAAAAACCCAGCTGGCGCTGGCACAAAACCCAGCTGGCGCTGGCGCTCAACCCAGCCGGTGCTGGCACTCACCCAGTCGGTGCTGGCACTCACCCAGGGGGCGCTAGTACTCAACCCATCCGACACTGGCACTTAACCCAGCCGGTGCTGCCCACACTCAACCGGCGCTGCCCACACTCAGCTGGCACTACACACAACCCAGCCGGCGCTAGTCTCTACACAACCACTGCTGGGTTCTCTACTCAGCCAAGAAAAGTTTAAGTCATCACATCATCCCCCCTAAAAAAATATTTTGTCCTCGAAATCGTTAATCGAACAAATGGGGGTACAAGGCCTGGATTTCATCTTCTCGCTCCCACGTTGATTCTTCCTTAGAATGATACTGCCATAACACCTGGACTAGAGGAATTTCTTTGTTGTGTAATATCTGAATTCTTCGATCTAGTATTTCAATAGGATGTTCTATATAAGTTAAATCCTCTCTGATCGGGATTGGCTCATACTTCAAAACATGGGTCGGATCGAGCTGATACATTTTCGATAACGACACATGAAACACATTATAGATGTTTGCCAACTTGGGTGGTAGGGCTAATCGATATGCCACGACTCCAATCCTCTCTAAAATCTCAAAGAGTCCAATGAATCGTAGCCTTGGTTTCCCCTTCTTGTTAAATCTCATTATGCCCTTAGCTGGTGATATCTTCAAAAAGACCCGATCACCCACTATAAATTCAAGTTCCCTCCTCTGATTGTCGGCATAATTCTTCTGCAGACTTTGAGCTATTCAAAGTCTTTCCCCAATCAAAGTGATCTTTTTTGAGGTCATTTGAACAATCTCTGGCCCAAACAGTCTTCTCTCACCGACTTCATCCCAAAATATGGATGATCTGTACTTCCTCCCATACAATGCCTCGAACGGTGTCATATGAATACTGGTCTAGTAGCTGTTGTTATAAGCAAATTCTATCAGAGGCAGATGATTATCTCAGTTTCCCTTGAAATCTATAATAGAGGCCCTCAACATATCTTCTAAGGTCTGAATGGTCCCTTCCGATTGTCCATCAGTCTGAGGATGGAAAGCAGTACTAAAAGTGAGTTTGGTCCCCATGGTAGACTGCATGCTGTTTCAAAACCTTGAAGTAAATCTGGAGTCTCTGTCGAACACAATACTAATAGGCACCCCATGCAGTGTTACTATCTCCTTGATGTATAGTTGGACCAACTTATCCATGGTTTAAGTAGTACGAACCAACAAGAAATGAGCGTCTTTAGTGAGTCGGTCCACAATGACCCAAATACCACCGTGCCCCAAACTTGATCTAGGCTGACCAGTCATGAAATCCATCGTTAGGTGCTCCTACTTCCATTCTGGCATAGGTAAGGGTTGTAACTGCCCTACAGGTTTCTAATGTTCAGCCTTCACATGCTGACAGGTCAAGCACTTGGAAACAAATTGTGCTACTTCTTTCTTCATATTATTCCACCAAAAGACTCTTTTTAGATCCCGATACATTTTTGTGCTCCCTGGATGCATTGTGTAACGGGAATGATTTGCCTTTTCTAAAATAGCCCTTTTTATTTTCTCATCGTCAGGGACACAAACTCGACCTTTAAACCTTAACGTATCATCACTACCTAGAGCAAAATCCTCCTTACCTTTCGACTTCATTTCCTCAAAAAATTTCATGAATCGAGGATCCTCCTTTTATGCTTCTCAGCTTTGCTGAAAGAGATGGGGCTTTATTCTCATACATGAAATTATTCCATTCATATCATCAAAGGGCAGAGTTGGGTGTCATTCTACTACATCTTCTAATAGCTTCATCTCTCGGACCATCATGTGAGCCATTGGCACCACGGGCTTTTTACTCAAGGTATATGCCACAATATTGGTCTTACTCGAGTGATAATTGATGGTACAATCATAATCATTGAGCAAGTCCATCCATCTTCTTTGTCTCATGTTCAATTCTTTCTCATAAAACAAGTACTTGAGGCTCTTATGGTTGGTGAACACCTTAAATTGA